GTATTGTTATCCATATTTAAAACCTCATTTTTAAATCATAATGTATGTTTGGTGTATCAATATGGTTAGCTTTTTAAATTAGTTAAATGTCTAGTGGAAAATAATTTAAATAAATGTGAAAATAACAAAGTTTGTGAAAGCTTGAAAGGCAAGTTATTTATAAAGTAGTAACTGCATTGATGCTATTTGCAGGATTTTAAAAGATAAAAGTATATTTTTAATGATGATGATATATTATATTTATTGATTTATCTTTATTTTTCAAACAGAAGTGTTATCAGCATTATGACAGCATTTAACAGCATATTTACTATAATGTTTGTACTAATATAATGTTTGGTCAGATTTTTTATATATATATATATTATACGGTAAAACTTTATTTTACAGTGTCCTTGTTACTGTAGTAACTATACATTTTGCATAATTACTAATCCTAAACCAACCCGTCCTAACCATGGTATTCTTTTTTAAAGACATGTTGTCTTATAAATATATATATATATATATATATATATATATATTTTCAAGATTTGTTATCACAACATTTTTGTCTTTTGTCAAATCAACTTAAATAATTTATTTAGTTGATATAACTTATTATTTTGAGTTTCTGATGATTAAATTAATCTCCTTCCAGTTCCAGTTCAATCAACTTAAAATTTTAAGGCAACCAGGTTGCTTACTTTTTAAGTTAAACCAACAATATTTTTTTACACTGTAAAAAAAAAAATATTGTTGGTTTAACTTAAAAAAATGAAGTAACCTGGTAATATTTTAAGTTCATTGAAATGGAAAAATTGAGTTAATACAATGAAGGAGATTGATTTAATCATCAGAAACTCAAAATATTATGTTATATGAACTGCATAAATTATTTAAGTTGATTTGACAAAAGAAAAAATGTGATTACAAATCATGAAAATATTTTTTTACAAGTTGCTGCCTTAAATTAAGTTCAATCAACTTGAATTTTTAAGTCATTTCAACTTAAATTACATCGAACTGACGTTAAAAAAGAATTTAATTTTGTATAATCAAAATAAGAAGCAATTTTCAACTTTTTTTAAGTTAAAGCAATGTAAAAACACATTGTCATAACTTATTGATCATATCATTTTTGACAGTGTATTATTATTATATTAATTATTATTAATCAGTACTTGAATGTATAATTACACTGTAACAGAGACACCTTAAAAATAAAATGTAACCTATTCTAATTATTATAATAATTCATCGTTTAAATTATTTTGTTCAATGCTACAAAAAAAAAAAAAAAGGCTGTTGTCTACAAAGTGAACACGAGGCAAATTGTTCTCATTCTCTCAGATCAACAAGTTTAGGCGTTGTTGCTCAATTTAGCAAATCACTGAGCGGATATGTCAAGTGGTGATTCACCGTTCCCCTGTTGCAGAACCTTCATTCTTTTGTCCTAACGCTCATAACGAATGAGAAATGTCAGTCAATGCACAGACATTATCAATATTTAGCCCTTTGAGTTTTTTAAGTTGACCTTTATGAAATGTTAAATGATTGCACCGTTTCCATCACCGGACTGAGAGAGAAAAGGGCACGAGAGGTCAGTAAGACAAGATCTGGAGACAGGAGAGGGAGATAACAGAAGTGCCAAAGATATTCCGATGCTTTAATATTTTTTTTGTATGCAACAAGCCGTCATTCAGTGACACCACAGCCACCGGTGACTTCCTGAAGGAACACGAGGAATGTGTTAATCAGTCCAAACTGCTCTTATACAGTACAGAAAGCTCTGAATACTGTAGATGTAAATGGGTTTACATGAGTGTGAGTAAATGGTATCATAATTTCCGTTTCATTGTGTGAACTGGTCCTTTAATGAGTGTGTTAGATCACATCTTAACGAGCTGTCCGTTTGTGTTGCATTTCCTTCTTGCTAAATCCCTCTCCAGTTGGATTTTGCACAATAAATTTGCTTTTAAATCCTCTAAGGCAATGGCAATACCCTGTTAAGGCTGTATTCTGGTTTTTGCTTACGAGACATTCTTCCCTCCATAACGATGCAGACCAAGTCGGATAAAATCACCTCTGTAAAGGGCGGTCTTGATTTAACAGCTCAGTTACAGCCCCTAAAGTGAGGCTTTTCACACAAAGGTCTTTTTTTTTTTCTTATGTGTCTTATTACACATTTTCCCTGAGGCTGAGCCCAGATTGCGTTTTGTAAATGCGGTATACTATAAACACATGCTTCCTGTGATTATCAAACAGAATAATGTGAACTGCAAAGCTGATAATGTCAGGGCCGTCGGAAGGTTTGGAAAAAGTCCAAAAGGGCACATTATGAATCTTTTCAGCTTGCCTCACGAATATTAATTAGGTCATGCTTGCCCAGTGAAAGATAAGCATCTGCTGGCCACAGTTGATCACCTGCTGAGGTTTAATTCGCCTACTTAAAAGTATGTACAGTACTGTTTTTGTGAAGAAAAAGACCCAAGCTTTGGGTCACAGGCCTACTACTTCGTCATAATTGTGTCACTGTTTAAACTGCCCTGTCAATCATTTTGTTACAGTTAAAATCCTCCACATTCAATTAAATTTAATGTCCTATCATATCAGAGAGACACGTAGTAGTACGTGGAACTACCAGTTGGGGGTCTTTTATGTCTAAAACTATCTATTTACCTTATATAACATCTTGCATCAAGGTTTGTTTGCCCGTGTCTCATTGTAAATCTTTCCTCAAGGAAGATCCCAGGCCTCCACATCTATGCAGCGATGCAGGACGAAAAAGAGCAAGAAATGATCCAGAGTCCAGTTTCTCCCACTGACAGCACACCCAGCTGCAGTTCTCAGAGAGAGCTGCTCACACCACTGGAACCTCTGGACACAGAGCCCAACACCCAGACCATCGGTGAGTGAGTACCTGCTGGATACCGTATCACATGCATCCCCTCTGATGCGTTTCCATTCATCACATGCCACTCAGATTCTCTCTTGTACTGAACTCATAGCTTGTATTCTTGAGAACAACAGATACCTAAGGGCCCTATCATACAGCCGGCGCAATGCGGCACCAGGTTTTTACTAGTTTCAGCCTGACGCAGTTATCATTTTTAAACAGCAAACGTTGTTTAAATGGTCTGCAAACGAGCTGTGTTCAGGCGCATTGTTGCTATTTTGAGGCAACTGAAACAGACTGTGCCACTGACCAACAAAAACCTGGTCTAAAGTCAATGGCGCAGTATTTTTTTTGTTATAGACCCCTTTTCAGTCGGTAAACATGGTGATTTTTTTTTTTGTGGGCGGAGCTTAGGTGGAGGCAGAACGATCCCTCTGGCCGCTTCACTAACGTATCGGCAGCTTGTTTTTTAACAATGACTGGAGAAAATCCGATTTTATCTTAATGTGTAAGGGCCGCGATTGTTATTTCCAAAAGTTATTTTTAATGGACGGAACCAGATTGGCCGACCCGTACACGCTCACTCAATGCATGGACGATCTGACTGGATTAACGTTACGTTACCTCGGTTGAGTGGCCTGAAAATGATCGCAAAGAGAAACTGAGGGCATATAAATCTTTAGATGCCTATATGGTCCTGTACAAGATTTGTGTGTACGATCCGCAGTTCTGCCGAACCAGCGACGGCAATGTAAAGAGTGTCATTATGGTGCGATTTTAATGTGAATATTTTCTAGAAATAAAAATTCCAGATACAGCGTATTCATTTTTCATCAATTCCTGCACCAAACAACACAACAAGATGACATTTAATAATAGTAACAATAATTTAAGCTCCTTATTATGTAGCCGAATCTGTGCTGTTTTGTATTGGCCGCCTCCAGTTTTCACTTTGTTTTGCCTCCAGCTAGCGCCGTGACGTAACTGTGACGTTAGTAACATGTGCCTATAGCAAGTTAGTAACATGTGCCTATAATCGGGTTCACAACACACCAGGGACGAACTAGCCAAATATTACAAATAAAAGGATTACAATGCAAAATATTAATATCGCGTACATCAAGATGGAATCCGGTGGATGGTGGAATGGTGGAATCCGGCTTGTCCCGTTGATGGTCTGCTTGCGCGCTTTAACCTTGCGCACGAGCAGATCCGTTTCCTAGCTAGAGAAGTTTTACATTTTCCGCTTGCAAATTCCGTCATGTAAATAGCGAATCTGCCATAGCGCGAGCGCAACTGGATTTTAAAATGAATGATGAGTCGCTGATTGGGTTATTGGACGTTACGTCCAAAACACACACATTACTCATTAAGAGAATAGGGACAACCCTTTTAGACTATGCTGCGGCAGCGCAGTCTCATCCCAAGACGTCATACAACTGACGCTTTTGACTATACGTCAACATCCGCCGTTTTAGGATACCCTTTATCGTCGTTAGATGACTCTATGTAATCCTAACCCTACCCCAGACCTTAGACTTAGCCACGTCATCTAACTGACGCTAAAGGTAAAGCGTCAGTTGGATGACGCCCCAGGATCATCATCTAACGACGTTAAAGAGTACCCTAAAACGGCAGATGTTGACATATCGTCAAAAGCGTCAGTTGTATGACGTTTTGGGATGAAACTGTGTTAGCTGCGGGGTGCACCGACCATTTTTCTTGTCGTTAAAGAGTAACTAAACACTTAACCAACTTTTTTTTAGTTAATCATCTGTAAGAATGGATCTTTATTAATACCAGTCATTGATTCGAGTAACTTTTTTGACATTTGTTTATAAAGTGTTCTAGTTCTACAATATATGGTGTAAAAACGTCTTAGTGCTGCCCTCTTCAGGTTGAACGGTGGCTACTGCAGTTGAATTTTCATATTGGATGTTCTGCACTTCGTGACGTACACAGGTTTCAGCTCACCACGCGAGCTACGACCTTGGCAGTATAAAAACCATCTTGTGTCGTCAAAACCACTGTAGGGAGTCAGGAATTGAATTGTGAGTATTGAAAACGATCAGGATAGAGTGTTTTAGCATCTATTTCATCCCCTCTGTCTCCGCTGGTGTCTGCCCATTTTTTCAGCATTTTCAAATATTGCTAGTGGGTGGAGTCAGGCTCTGACCAGGGGTTTAGTTACCCTTTAAACCAGCAAAAGGGGATTCGGACACGTCCTAAGTGCGTTTTCGCCGTGTGCTTTAGACCATGCACTTAGATCAGGGATGGGCAACTTCAGTCCTGGAGGGCCACTGTCCAACAGAGTTTAGCTTTAACAATAATCAAACACACCTGAATGAGCTAAATCAAGGTCTTTAGGATTACTAGAAAGTTACAGGCTGGTGATTTTTTTTTTTTTTAGTTACTAAACTCTGTAGGACAGTGGCCCCTCCAGGACCGACATTGCCCAACCCTGGCTTAGATCCTTAAAGTAGGGCCCTTTACCTGTCACTCAGCTCAGTCTGCTTGTGTTAGGTAACTTCTTGTAAATGGCCTCACCAGATTTGTTGGAAAGGGTGGTCTTGTTGATTGCAGGCGTAAACATTGGTTGCTTGACATATGGTCCCTTGGTGATGCCTATAATAAATCAACAAAACAGCAAATGTCATGATGCATTTCAGCTTTCTAGGCTGCGAAGGATGTGAAGGTTGCCACTGTCAAATGACATTCTGTTGTTCGTTTCCCAGAATGCATCAAACCTCATCCACGCGTCAAATTCTCATCAGATCTTCCTACGTACATCGACGTTTGAACTCTAGACTCCGCCACGTCAAGGACTTTGGTCACGCGGACACAAAGGTTTCAAGCTTTATTCAGTACTTGTGCATGTTGGACATTAACTTTACTGTGCTCTGTGAATACTAGAACAAACTTTGTACAGCTTTTTTATATGTCTGTGTATTCAATAAATCATTTTTAATGCTGTTCATTTGTAAAGACGCCAGTGTGTATAAAGTTGGAGGGAAAGGCCAGCATGAGGGGTGGAAAATCGATTCTTGGTTAACTGTCCGTTTATTTTTTATTGTTACCAGTGGCAGTACAGTATTCATGAGAGTAAAACATGGATGTGTGACATTTTGGAAGTGTTTTAATAATAAACTGTACATTTATTAATGATTATTGTAAAACGAAACATTTCCTGGGTTTCATTTTGTAAAGCTATATTTAGCGCATCTGTACTTTACTTGTAACACAATAATATAGGTTTTATTATTTGACTCAGTTTTTTTTTTTTTTTTTTTTTTGCTTCTCTGCAATTTTAAAGTATTTTTCTCATAGTAAAATCAATTCTGTATTTCTAGGTAGAAATAACTGTTCGTTTACAGATACATTTTGTGTAAACGTCCATAAGACTTTGAGATACATGAGATATTTTGATTCATCATGGCAATTTCATACGTAAACAATTTTGTATGAAATAATTTGTGCACTCACAGGGGTTACATGATTTATGTTTTGATTTTGCTTCTTTTTGCATTTAAATTCAGTCATGTCATACCAAAAGCTGACGGATATGAATGTATGAATGTGTAAGTGCGTATTTAAATATTTAAGACTTTTTTCTTTTACTTTGCTCTCTTTATTTTTTAACAGTATAAAATCACAGGGAAGCGATGAGAAGATACTTTAACTAATAAATTGACTAGTACTATTCAGAAATCACTCAATGCCAAAATAATGTCACGTACACCAGGCATTGCATTTTATGACAGATTATTTTATTTTACCTTGTATAGTTTGAAAATTGAAGACAGTTGGTATATGACTAATTTGACTATTTAAATAGAACATTTTAATAAAAAAAAAATTCTATCAAAATACAGTTTGCATGGACCTGGGGCAACTATAAAATGACATAGAATTACATGATTATTTGCATTTTATTATTTATTTGTATTATTATTAATATTTACATGTAGCATCATAACTCATGAGCCAATGCATGTCCTCCTGTTTGTTATAATGGTGCTGTTACACACATGGCAGAGATCATGCTCCTCACATTATCTTTATGCTATCAACTGTCCACTATAGCATTTTTATGTATGGGATGCTTCCCATTTCTTCTCTTCTTTCAATATTTGAATATCAAGGTTATATTACAGCTATTGCCGTTTTTTCTATTATCATACATCAACGAATGTTATCTGTTATCATCTTTATTACACAAATGGAGACAGCATGTTTAAAAGGGAATTTTTAATGGATTATTTTATTTCAATTGTCCTTGCCCGTCACCTTTTGTACACTACCTATAAATATCGTGTCATAGCACTAGAGGATATTCATACCGAGACAATTCACTATGGACTTGATACAATCACAGTACAGATTATATTTTCATAATATCATGAGCGCTGCAGTCTGGCGCTGTCTTTGGCATATGAGACGACGGACGGCAAGACTCAAGTTATGAGTCGAAATTGTCAATCAAATGAGTGCAGGGCATTGTGGGTTGGGGGAGGGGCTATAAAATGAGCAATAGCAATATAGTTAAATTGTTTCTGCTAAAAGACACACAAAAAAATTGACTAAATCAATATCTGAAGATCCAGAGTTAAAAAAAAAAACGACCTGATGGCTGCAGAGAAATACATTTTAATTCATTATTAAACTGAGTTGTACATTTAGATTGAAGACAGAGATTATATAACTGTTGTTAAACCACTGGCTACAAAACAAGACACTTTATGAGCTTTGAATGGACAGACTGTGGCAGCCAGGAAAAATCCAGCGCTGCCACTTTACTCTTAAGAGTGAGGAAGATTATTTTTGTAGAAGACGAGTTTTATTACTGTAAAGATTTTATATATCTATATATATTAATATATATATAAAAAAATGTAGGTGTCATGTTTTTTTTTGTTTTGTTTTTATATATACATATACATATATACAGTATCTCTTTCTTTGACCTCAACTCTGTGCAGTGTTGAATTGTTTCTGTTTGGTGCAATCGTATTTATTAAATGAAATCAGTCCCTGTAATTGTGTTTTGATTTTCTTACAGTATTTGTAAAAACATTATGTAATTTGCTGAAGTAACCTTTAAATCATAGATAATAAAGTACCGATCAGTCAAATGGTCTATGTTTTTATTTGAAGCTATATAACCATGTACACTCTGTAAGAATTTGCATTGATTTTAAAAGTAGTCTAACGCTCACCAAGGCTGCATTTATTTGGTCAAAATACAGTAATACTGTGAAATATTCTATGTGGATATACTTTAAAATGAAATTTATTCCTGTGAATTTTCATCATCATCACTCAGTGTCACGTGATCCTTCAGAAATCATTCTGATTTGATTTGCTGCTCAACAAAAAATTCTTATCATTATCAGTAATGAGAACAGTTGTGCTGCTTAATACATTAGTGTAAACTGTCATATTTTTTGATTCTCTGATGAAAAGAAAGCATTGATTTGAAATTGACATTTTTTAGAGATGTCCTTGAGATATTTTGAGATATCCCGACATTTGTGCTTTTTTCAGTTGCTTATAAACATATTAATGGCACAGGTGAAATTACACTATATTTAGCAGTAACAGGGCTACCATAATATGTGAGCAACATGTACATGTGTGTGTTTTTGACAGAATATTGTTTATGCGTGGTTATTGAAGAAAAAAAAATGAAAGTTTCTGAAATAAGTCCACAAAACACATACGAGATATGCGTCCACAATACTTTTGACTAATGGATGTTGTGGCCTAGATTTTTTTTTATTATTTTTTTTCTCTCTTCTCACAGTGATCTGAAAATCATCCTTCTAATCGTTCACATAAAACTGTGAATTAGGTTATATTGTGAAAATCAAAATATATATGAAATTCAAAAACCCATTTTTAGTCATACCTGGAAACAAATCCTGGTCAAATAGGTTATATGGGCCATAGTGGAGAATTGGTTCAAAGTTATAGTTGGAAACATCTTGAAAAGAAAATTATTTTTCCAAATAAAGTATTATTTTTAAATTAGGCCAATACATTTTATTAAAGTTTAGGATTCATTATTTTGCTTGCATTGTAAAACAGTTGATTAGTTTATTTTTGACAAAACATACTATATATTTAACATACTGTATGAGCAGAAACTGTCTAACTAAAGCTTATTTGATGTCTATTTTAAAGTAAAAACTTTATAATCTATTTTGTCTGTGTACAGTATCTCTCAGCATGCTGGTTAAAATGATTTCTGCCCCCTTCTAGAGAAAAGAATGCGAGAAGTGAGCAGCCGTAAGCGAAATACGGTTTTGCGACAGCGCAGCTAGAGAGAGAGTTAACTGGAAGGCACATGAGACTGCAGATTAAGGAGCAATCAATGTAACCAGAGCTCTACTGACATCTCAAGGTAACTTTCAACGGCGCCCAGGGAACTGTATGAGTGTGTTTGTGCGTGTTCCTGTTATGTAATTGCAGCCAAGGGCACAACTAATTCAAGCCTAATGATTCATTTCGAATTTCTTCATAAAAATGATGCCCTCACGACAAAGCATTAGGCGGTCAACGCACCTCTTGTGTACAAATACAAGTTTATCAGAGGCCTGTCTCCTCCAGGATAATAACCAGCTCAATCCACTCCCTGTGGGTTCGTACTGTAGTTACTCCAAGGACATTAGACTCAATCTTCCTCTGGTGATTCGTGTGCCTACAGCGAACAGTGTCCACCGCTGGCATCTCTGCTCACAGCCCTTCGACTCACCACGTTTAATTACCTTTGGAAAGAAAGACCAGCGGGAGAGAGAAAGAAACACACACACACAAACCAAAGGGGAAACTTAGTAATTCGTTTCATATGCCTACATAGGCCTGTTAAAATCCAAACTAATTACAAACTATGTAAAAGGAGCTCTTTCATTGATAGGCAATGTAACATTGTAAAGTGCCAATCATCCGCAGGTGTTTTATGTCAAATTGCATTTGGTTTCATAGGACAGTATGAATGTGCTTCTCTATAAAATGTAATTCTATCAAGCTGCCTGGGTTTCCCAATAACATTGCAAATTATGCTTTTAATATCACTGGTAAATAGCTGGGTTTCAGTCACGTGATTATGATGACGGTCGGAATTCAGATGGAGAGCAGGGTTAGTTCACTTTGAAAAACATTTTTGGTATGTTTTAGCTTACCTCAAGGGCATCCAAGATGTAGTTGTCTTTGTTTCCACGGTGTTTTCAATTTTGATATTTTTCGGTCAAACCGCTGTTGTCTATCAGTCATATAATGGATGTTTAGGAGGTCCTCCCTCAGTTCACCTCAAAGAGCATGCACAGAGAAGTCAAAATTAAACATGATTTAATGACTCGTAAATGTAAGTACACATTGATGGCCTAAGACACGAAACGAGCAGTTTGTGTGACAAAACGAACAGTATTTATATCGTTTTTACCTTGTGTAACCACAGCCATGTCCAACTGATCTGACGGCACGGGTGCTTCGGTCTGCGCATGCGCCGGAAGTGATCGCTTGCGCGGCTATACGTCACTCATTGTTAACACAGAAATTTCGGAAGTTTTACCTTTCACTAAACATATTTAGATATACCGAAATCGTCTTCCATTGTGATTTCCTGTATATCTAAATATTTTTAGTGAAAGGTAAAACTTCCGAATTTTGTTGTTATTCGTCATAAAGAGGAGCTATTGTTATTTACTGAATTGAAACATTTTCCTGCCCTCGACGCGGTAGATATCAGCAACTAAGTGACTCTTACAGACATACTTTGACTTTACAACGTTCGGAAACATTACACGTTACACAAACAGTCACTTAAGTTGTATTAACTCACCTTTGACGAAGTGATCACTAACGTTACACACACGGCCATTTTCCCATTCGCAGACATAGGACGGTTTGCAAGCCGTTTTTCCAGAGTTTTTCGGTCAATTTCTTCCATTTTCCCGCCTTTTGGTACACGATAAAAACTCCTTGTGGTTTGATCGATTCAAGTAACCAAATGACCCAAAACCCAGCCATTTTGAGTTCACTTCCTGCCCTCCGTTTGTATTTCGCGCCATCCATGGCAACGCAGTGGCGTGATGTCATATGAAAACAAGCTATTTGACCATTTGAATGCATCCTTGCTGAATAAAACTATTAAATGCAATTAAATTAAATAAGCCGCCCTTGGTGATACTTTCAAAAACCTGAAAAAATGTATTATTAATAATATAAATTAACTCATTATTCCACAATTTCGGGGAGTTATATGTGCGAGTTAAGTCAAGACAGAGAGAAAGACAGCATCAATACTTATCCAGCCATTCACTTCATTAACTTCCCATCTCTCCCTGGGGACAGATTGCATTCTCTAGAGGTTAACGCAGGCCAGCAAAGAGAAAGTCACTCTCTTCTCCAGACTGATTTGCATGGTCTGTTGATAATTGGCATTCAGGAAAGCTGTATTTGATTAGGAGGTCCAGGGGTACGCTTCACTTCTGGAGACTCGATCACACACTCTCCTTGTTCTTACGCCCACTGGCAAGGCGACGGTGATCATTTCATGAGCATATTCCCTTCATCAATGATTAATCTGTGTTACTTATGCAGCAGAACAGAGCAAAAAGTTTATTTTAATGAGAAGGAAAGAGCTGAACTAAATGCAGAGGCCTTAAAGGAGGCAGAAGGAAATGAAAACAGACTGCAAACGCACCCTTGTGGGACACCCTCCTTTTTCCGAAGCAAAATGGATTATATATTTCTAATGAATGTACACTGAACCTTATGTTTGGCCTGATTGATTACCATGCTCAGTAGAACCGCAAAATAAGCAAACACCAAATGATGCATACTTACTGTAGGTAAACGGCTGATTACTCATTAATTTGCTTGTGCAGTTTTTAATAAAACCCAGAGCTGGAGAACTGAATCGTTTCTATGCAACCTGTAAAATTCTCATGTATTGATCAAACTGGTTCTTTGTATTTGCACAATGAAACACAAACTGTGGCAGAAAGGGTTATTAAAACCACGCTCCAGTGGAGTGTAATCAGCATACACTTCGCTGACATCATGATTGCAGTAATTAACTCCACCCTTTAAATATTTGCCTATTTTATCAGTAGCATACTAGAAGAAACCTGTAGGATGAACGTTAAATCATATTCAAAACCCATTTTATTTAAGTAATGCTTCGAAGTTAAAAGGGGTGTTCGATGAGAAAAATGGACGGGGCTTGATGTTATCCATTGGGAATTGATTGGATTGTGAAACTCAGCACTCCATATCAGAATAATGTGCAGAGAAAGCTGGACGTTATCTCTATATGAAGTGGTTGGATGGGCAGGGAGTTTAGTGACATCAGCTGAACACGACCAGAAGTGGACATTTGATGGAAGATTAAACATAAACTTTTTTTTTTTTTTTTTTTTTTTTTTTTTTAAATAAATCATGCTTGGTAAGACCAGAAATGTTTTGTAGCCCTCAATCGGGTCATGGGGTCTATACGACCCCAATCGACTTTTACTTAATAAAAAAAAAAAAGGTTCCCTTCATCTCAGTGGAATAAGATTTTGACTTTTCATACATTTTCATACACATATATTCATACACACACATAAAAACTGGGCTT